GCCAGAGAGCTCAGTTTGTAAGAGTGCGCGCTCTGAACAACAGAGCTGTTGGTTCAATTCCCACATGGGCCAGTAAGCTGCGCCAGTAAGCTGCACCCTCTACAGCTAAAAAAATTTTAAAAATAAATAAAAATAAAGATGGTGAGAAACTTATTTTAAAAAAAAAGAAATCTGAAATAGCTGTATTAATATCAGACTTCAAGATGAGGTGTATAACCAAAATAAAGAAAAAATGTTTCATAATAATTGAAGAGTCAATTCATCAAAAAGACAAAACAGCCCTAATTGTGCATACACCTCCAGCTAATGTCTTACCTAAGGCTAAAACACCATATGCGTTCCCCCTAAGCTCAGGAACACGGTAACTCCCACCACTTGTATTCAACCCCATATAGGCGGTACAGGTGGTCCTAGCCTGTGCAGTGAGGTGCAAAAAAATAGTCACAGAGATTTTTAAAACTCCTCAGAAGTGTTGCCTGTACTTACTGTCTCTGCTTTTCTCTTCCTATTCTCTCTTGAATTCACTCCAATCAGGTGTCTCTCCCCGACCCATCATTTCACTGCACCTTGCCTTTCAAAGGTCACCATTCACCTCCGTGTTGTCAAACCTAACTGTTAATTCCTCATGTAACTTGACCTGTAAGCATCATTTGACATAGCTGATGATCCGCTTCTTTGAAATTCTTTTTTACTTGCCTTTTGCTTCTGACCTCACAGGCCATTCTGTTGGTAGCACCTCACATACCAGCCTGTAAATGTTGGCCTGCTCAGAGCCCAGTTTTCAGACCTGTTCTCCATGCTATCTGTACTCTCTCCCAGATTACTTTAAATAGCCCGTATGTCCCAATACTTCTCTCAGATGTTCTGAATCTCCTCCAGAACCTCCCCGCTGAACTCCAGATTCCCTAGTCCAACTGCCCACTTGCCATCTCCATTTTGATTAGCAAAAAGTTAACACGTACAAAAGCAAATTCTTGATCTTTCCACCAATCTCTCAAATGCTGTTCCTTCCCCCTGCAATCTTCTCCTTCTCAGGAAATGGCAACTGCATTTTTCCTCATGACCGGGTCAGAAAACTTAGCTTACTCTTCACTCATCTTTTCGCCATCTCGTATCCAAATTGGTCAGCAGATCCTGTAACTGCCGCCCTGTTTGTGCTCTGCCAGGAACCTACTGCCAGCAGAGAGAGGTGGAAGCCATCATGGAAGGCGACGAGGACGACAGAGGCTGCTGCTGCTGCAAACCGGGCCACCTGCCACACCTGTTGTCCTGCAACGCAGCCTTTAACCTCCGCTGGCTCACCTGGGAGGTCACGCGGACGCAGTACATCCTGGAGGGCTACAGCGTCATAGACAACAACGCAGCCACCATGCTGCAGGTGTTTGACCTCCGCAGGCTCCTCGTCCGCTACTACGTCAAGGTACCGCCCGGGGTCCCGGACACTCGGCTGAGCGATATGCAGGGCTGGGTGAAGGGGCGCAGGAAAAGCTTGGCAGGGAGCCTGATGTTGAGGTTCCCCCGTGGCTTCTGGATCTGAGGCCCAGCTCAGTGTGGGAACAGCTGGTTTTGTGAGAACTCCCCAGGGGCTTTGCTTCAGCCTGAGGTTCCTGCCTTGCGTCACATTCCAGGCCTGGGCACTTCTCACCTAGATCTGTGTCCTCGCTGCTAACAGCATGTGGTACAGCAATGATGGTGATGATAAACTGAACATCTCGGAAATATTACCAAGCCTTGTTTACACGTTGTAAGTGTTCACTTAGATCCTCTGCTAATTTCCGCTGTAGAACCAGAATTACTTTCTAAGCTCATGATGAAAACTCAAAATCGTAGCCAGGTGATCCCATCAGGATTAGATACCATCGCCTTTTCCCCCCCATTCATGTGGGGACTAATCACATATTTTTCAGTCACTCGGAACCCATGTCTGCCCAACGTATGTTCAGCTCAGAACATGTGCCGGTTGGAATAAGTCTCCTGCACAACAAGTGTGAGACTTGACCAAGGATGCAGTGACAGCTGGGCGAAGGTGTCTTCTAGAGGGAAGGCCAGGCGAGGGCCGCCATGGCTGAGGAAGTCTTTGTGGGGACCCATGTTGTCGGGGAGCCCTTTGCTTGGTGGAAGCCCAGACAGTCCTCAAAGGGGTCCACATTTTAATGCCAAAGTGAGGAAGCTCATCCGTCTGAGACCTCAAACTCCCTGCCAGCCGAGGCTGACACGTGGACCAGCAGAAATGAGCAAATACAAAATAAAAAGGTGACATGGGCACCTGAAGAGTCAGGAATTTCAACCAACTGAAAAGGAGGACATTTAGAAATTTGGAATGGCTATGGTAGGGAGCACCAATAGCTGCTAAAGTTTTAGGAGATAGAAGGATTGTGAAGATCAGAAGGTTAAATAACTCTCCATTATCACACCCCAAGGTGACTGCAACAAGAAGTGTTCGTGAAACCCTTTCCCGGGGCAGAATAGTTAAACCAGTCTTAGCGGTTCATACTCACCTCCTTTGTGTGTGCTAGAGGGATGCAAAACTTTACATCCAAATTTCAAACAACACTATAGCTGCTCTGCCCAGGCTCACATCAACTGGGGAAGATCCGGAAAGCAAATCAGGGACTTTTGACCTTGTGCCTCACAACTCCAGGGTTTGCCCCCTCGGCCATTATAAAAGAAACTGAAAGATTTTCACACATTCAACTCTGGGCACACTTGGTATGTCAGCTGGTAGTAGATTTGGCAGAGAGCCGTGAAGTAACTGGCACACATGTCAGACGTGTCTTTCTCTCATACACAAACAAAAGCTGGTGTGGTAACTCCAGGAAGTCCCCAGACCCAGGTCCCTTCCGCTCCCAGCTCCACCATGTTAAGTGCCTGCCCCCCCCATCCCCTGCCTTACGCTCCAGGTTTAACCGGATGGAGGGAAGGACACAGAAAATGAAGGCCAAGGTCCTGCACCCGCTGTTCCTTAAGAAGGTCCCTGGACGTTGCCACAGTGTGCTGCTGCTGTATCCCATTGGCTGGAAGATGTCAGATGCTAGCCTAGGGCAGGGTCGGGGGGAGGGTCTGGAAAGTGTATCCTGGGCAGCTGTGAACCCAAATAGAAACTGTATGTTCATGGAGGGAGAAAACAGTGTTAAATGGCAACCAGCTATCTCTGGCACCTCCCTCAAAAAGCAGAGAAAGTGTCTTGAGTATCTCCTTTTGTTCATAGATGGCTACGGGTTGGAGCTACTGCAGGAGGGCTGGACCCAGGGGCTGACGGGTCACGGGGACTGGCAGGCCCATGAAGCAAGTGGCCAGGAGTTCACTCTGGAGAGGCAGTTGGGACCAGAAGTGTGGATCTAGATGGCCAGACAGACAAGCCCCAGAGCTAAACGTTTTGTCACCTCTAGAAGAAGCAACTCTTGTTCACCATCCAGGACCCTCCATTATTGTTTCCGACTGGGGTTTTGACCCCCTTCCTTAGCAAGCGCGCACACTTGCTGTGCTCCCCACGCCCGCCTGGCCTGCTGCACCTGCCCCTGCTCTGTCCCCCCGGCTCACAGCCTGGGCTCTTCCCACCTGAGCTCACAGGCAGCACCTCCCCACCAGCTGCCCTGTCCGAGGCTGGCAGTCACCTCCTCTTGCTCTGCACCTTCTGGAAGCTTCCTAAGCAGAGGAGCCACATATTCCTGGTTCCTCTTTGGGTCCCCAGAACTCAGTGTGATGACTTGCTTATAGAGGTGCCAAGCATTTTTTTAGATGAATGAACAAAGGTCCCAGGTAATGTGGAATCGAGTCTGGGCCATACAGTCTGGACAGATGACATTTAGATGTTGGCAAGGGTCTGAGCAACCTGCTCCAGACAATGGTTGCGAGAATGGGGTTCAATGCTGAGCCATTTCTGTGTGAACCTGGAGCTCCCCATAAATGGCCTTTCCATGGGCCACGTGATCAGGCCAGCAGGCCACCACAGGTGCAGAGAAGGGAGAGAGAAGGCAGGAGGTGCCCTTTGTGGGTGTCCCTGCTGGCTTTTGCAGAGGCCTTGGGCACACCATGCCAGGACCTGATTTTTGATGCCCCCGCCCCCCCCTGCCCCCAAACTGGTAATTGATGTTCACCTTTCTCCTCTCCTGTCACCTGGAAACGTGCCTCCCAGTCCTGTATGTGTTGTCTAAAATGGCAGTTTGCAATCTGCTGAACAAATCCAGGGTCATGTGCAAAGGGCAGAGGCTGAACAAGGCCCCCTGAACCTGCCCGGTAATAGTTAGCTCTTGGGTAAACAATGCCCTTGATTCTGTTTTCAAAGGCAGGGGACTGATGCTAACATGCGAGGTTCAGGGAGGGTAGGAGAGGCGCACAGTGTGACGGCTTGTTCCCTAAGGGGCACGTCTCACAGGCCAGGGGCAGACCTGTGGCACCCGGCTCTCCCAGTAAACCTGGCGACTACAGGTTTGCACGTCCTGCCCCAAACTTCTGATTCTGTGGGCCCGGGGAGGTGTCCGAGTGCCTATATTTTTAAATGAGTTTTCTAAGTGATTTGATACACAACAAGCCTTGGGAACCACTCTAGACATATTTGTGCCCAACAGAAGCAGAATTTTCTTAACTCCAAATCAGCACCCAGGAGGTGCTGAGATTTGGGGGCACATGGGTCCCCACAGTTAATTCCCGGCACATTGGCACAGGCAAGCCCATCTCTTTATAGAGCGCTCCCTGCCTCCCTCCTCTGGTGAGGGGTCACCCCAACCTTGCCCTCCTTGCCCTGTGTAGTTAGCCCCAGGGGATTTCCAGAGCGCCGAGCGGCTGTCGGAACAGAAGAAATGGCGTTTTAGGGTAAAAACAAATGGATATGTCCTTCTTTGGTCTTGGTTACGTGGTGAACTGTATTGCCTTTGTAGCTCTGAATTGCTTCACATTTCACGAGTTCAGTTGTACCCTTTTTATTATTTTTTTATTGGACAAGCGAATCAAAAGGGAAAAAAGCTTGGAATAATGCCTTCGCACGAAAGAATTCTTTTTTTTTTAATCTCCTCATAAACTGGGTCAGTTCCCCCGCCCTCCCTGAATATATTTGAAATCATTTTGTTCCTGATGACTTGAGGTTTCCCCCTGTGCCTCCTCCATTATTCATGTTTCAAACCCTCTTCGCAGTCCAGACACCAGCTCTCTGCGAGGGTCTGGTGTTCCTGCGGCCATTGTCTCTGCCTAACTCCTGGAGACAGGAGATGGGCTTATCGCTGGGCTTGCAGAATGAGGAGCGGAAAACCCGGACATGTTGGTCTGCCTGCCGGGGGCCCCCTTCCAAGAAGGAGCTGCCTGATAGGACACGCTGATCTGCAATTAAAATGAGAAGCCTGGAGAATCCTGCTGGAGGAGCCAGACACGGTGAATTAATTCAGAAGAGGTCCCACTTTCAACACGGATCAGGGTCTACACAATTGATTTTCACTGTCCTTACTTATCAGTTTTACTTAGTATTGTATCCATCTCTTCCTGACAGACTTGGTAGGATTCCACACTGTTCACTATTCATTGACATCTCCCTGACAGAATTTCTGCCTAAATGAAGTGGAAATGGCCTATGGTTTGCAACTGGTTGGGGTGGTTGTGTTTTCTCCCGGTGAGAGGACTGGAACCATGTCCCCCTCGCACAGGAAAGCCGGGCCTGGAGCTGGGGTTGCGCTCCAAAGTCAGCACTGCAGGAATTTGCCAGAACTGGAGGAGGAAGTTTTAACCTCTGTGATTTGAACTATTGTGACTTCACCTCCAGGGGTTGTTTTAGTTCCTCCCTAGAAAGGAATGGAAAGGTAAACGTTCATCTCTTGATTTGTTTGTTATTCTTGTTGGGGACACGTGATCAGGACATATGGAGAAAACTAGGCCAGACGTTTGCTAGACCAGATGTTTAGACAGACCACATTTCTTTTTTCCCTTGGTCATTGTCAGCTGAGATGTGGTGACTTGGGCCGTGACCACGATCTTTGTTTGCTTGTGACTCTGGCCGACTGTTTAAACTGCCAACCTTGTAGAAGCTGGAAGGTACCCTGCCAGTGACCAGACACCAGAGAAGCGTCCAGATTCAGAATTTACACCTCTGCATGCTAGATGTGCACTCTGGTGACCACCACAGACCAAGTGTCCTGTCCCCCAATGTCCTCCTGTCACCTCACGCCTGCTTCAGACCTCAGCTTGACTGTTATCACTGCTGCCTCAGGTTTGGTGGGTAGCAAGTCACAGATGCCAAAGATACCCTGTTATTATTATTATTTCTTTGTATCGTGTGCCAGGCCACGTGCTAAGTATTTTACCCACATCATCTCATATTAAACCTCAAAGCAGTGATGAAACGCGGCTCTCGTTAGCGCCGGTTTCTCCCTCCTCTGCTTTCTGCTTGCTTTGGCCTCTTCCCTTCTCCCTCCTGACACTGGAGGATTTCTTAGGGTCAGCACAGGTGTCCTGGTCCGAACCTGTGAACTACTGGATTCTACTTACTGTCTGCATGTCATTTCTCCACAACCTCTCCCCTCCTGCCCCACACACCCCACCACCATTTTGGGGTCAGGAGGGCTGAAGCCTGTAGAGAAATAGGGGCCCCCTTGGTCCTGACAACAGAGCAGCAGAGTGAGGCTGGGCCAGGCGTTTGTTCGCATCCAGCAACCACGTGTGTCTGTCTGCTCACCTGCTCACACTCCTGAAATAACCTGAAACCAGGTACCTCACCCACCACCGACCAGGGCAGTGGCTCTGCCCACTCACTTGCACAGCTTGTCCCCTCAGCCCTGTTGGTGCCCCTCCACATGCATCACTTCCTGTCTTCTCGCTTGGGAAGGCCCTCTATGAAGGGCTTGGTTCTGCAGCAGTGTGCATCACTGCCTCTGCATCCAATGCCACCCTGCTTTGTCCCTCGTGATTTCCACCTGGGTGGCAGGCAAGGCTTCAGGGTCCACCTGAGCCATGGGGGCACTAAGGGAATGACAGTGTGTGAAGCGGGGAGGGGACACCTCAGCACTCTGGTCCCACCTGTTGCTGGTGTGCCCCCGTCAGACCTGGATTGTCATTTCCTGTGTCACACTTAGTTCTCCAGGCCAAGTGCTAGCCTTTTGGAAACATGAATTCATTCAAAGACGACAAGCTGGCCTTCAATAAAGCGGTGGCTCCAAATAATAAAGTCCAAGGGTGGCATTTTCCCCATTGGGACTTCTAAAGTAGAATATCTGAAGGAGAGGAACCTGGGTTGTCGCTGAGCACATCACAGATGTCCTCTGTCTGGGTGCCAGGATCACGTGTGCATGTGTTACCATGTTGCAGCATAAGTACTTCCCCTGAGGACTCTGCCGATTTAGATCAGACACTCTGGCGGGGGCCAAAGAGCGGCCCCCAGTCTCGTTCAGCTGGCTCAGCCCCGCCTGGCACCACGGAAGCCGCAGTGAACCAGGTGCTTTCACGTGCTTCCCTCAGAAAGGAGGGGGCTGGCTGGCGTCCTTTCTCCCCATGGACAGTCTGTTCTGGTACATTCTCTGAGCATTCTGTGTTCACACTGCCCCTTCCCTACAGTGACCCTTAAGAGAACATTTTGGAATGTTTCAAGTGGGCTCTACCCACAAAATCTGGCAGGAAATACAAGTGACTCCCGCCCGTGGGGATTTCATGTCTCATATTTCTCTGATCTCAATTTACTTGATGAGATATAATAAATGAAAAGTCTGTCTGGCTTTAGAATGGCTGTGAGGGCCGAACATCGTGCTTTCTCTCTGCAGAGTATAATATACTACATGGTAACGTCCCCCAAACTCCTCTCCTGGATCAAAAACGAGTCTCTCCTGAAGACCCTGCAGCCTTTCGCCAAGTGGCATTACATTGAGCGTGACCTCGCAACGTTCAACATTAACATTGACGATGACTACGTTCCGTGTCTCCAGGGGGTGACACGCGCCAGCTACTGTACCGTCTACCTCGAATGGATCCAGTACTGTGCACGGCAAAGACAAGAGGTAGGGAGGGGCTGGGCGCTAGACGCGTGAATGTCAGTTTCAAACACAAGGGAAAAGGTAAAGGCCATCTCTTTCCCACCCTCTCTGGCAGACGGTAATACAATAAAGGAGAGAAAAACCATTGGTGTTTGGAGAAGTGCCTATTTAACGACTAAGCAGAATTAAGAGGCAGAATCCGTGTGCCCTGGCTCCGATGAAGGAGCCTTGGAGGCGTATTTCCCCGTGCACTGGCTCAGGGTCGGGCAGTCCTACGCCTCTACCATAGCCTTAAAACTCTGGAAACTCGTTTGTTGAAAGTTGCTTTTTGAGATTTCTGCATAACGTATATCTGTGGGAAATCCAGGGGATTTACTGCACCCATTGAATCGTGGAGAAGAAATGCTGCTTAATAATCAAGTGCTCCAGGTTCCTCCTCAGTTGTGTTTCTCATGCATCAACTCCTGTGCTGAGGACGCTTCTTGAGATGAACGCAGCCTGAGATGGGAAACCGAGGACAGTGACAGCGTATAAATGAGGAGGAGGAGGAGGAGAAAGGGGAGAAAAGCAAAGGGAGGGAGTGGGCTTACTTGCTTCTCAGGATGAAAAGCTGAACCCATGTGTGGTTGACGGGACACGGGGACAGTAGATCCAGGTCGAAAACAAGCACCTCAGCCCCTGGCGACACTGTCATACGACCTGTACAGGGCTACACACATCAAATTAGGACGTAGCCCAGGTCCTGGACCTTTTCATGAGTGATTAAATCGGGTGGTAGGAAAAGCAGGCAGCAGAACCTGCGATCTCCGGGTGCGGCAAGGAGAAATGTGTGACCCTCCACCCCCCACCCCTCCACCCTGGCCTCCTGGGGCTGAGACGCAAAGGCTGTCGATGTTCTGGGCTGACCCCACCGGTGCTTTCCTCTTTCCTCAATTGGGTTATGACATCATTTTTCTTGCAAAAGATACTTTGACTTTAAATTTCTTCTGCCCTTCCACCCACTTAATTTAGTGGTTGAGGTGGACTTACAGTCACTCGGGGGGCTCCTCATTTTAGGGAAAACAGAAAACCCTCATTTGAACTTGATTCCTATACTTCTCCTCTCCCTGCTAGACGTGGCTCTCCCCTGCTTTGCTCAGGATTAAAGTGGGCAGTGGGCAGTGGACAGTGAGGTGGGCAGTGGGCAGTGACAGTGTCAACGTGGGCAGTGGACAGTGTCAACGTGGGCAGTGGACAGTGTAAAGGCGGGCGGTGGGCAGTGACAGTGTCAACGTGGGCAGTGGGCAGTGTGAAGGCGGGCAGTGGGTAGTGTGAACGTGAGCGGTGGGCAGTGTGAAGGCGGGCGGTGGGCAGTGAGGTGGGCAGTGACAATGTGAAGGCGGGCGGTGGGCAGTGTGAATGTGAGCGGTGGGCAGTGTGAAGGTGGGCATTCAATTGACTAGAAGTGCTGACCATCTTTATGACCTGAAGTGCCATATTCAAAATCCCAGGGAGTTAGGTCAGCAGCTACGTAGCAGCCTGCCTCCTCTCCTAAAGTAGCTTGTTGGTGAAATGTGTCCCCATGTCCATCCCCAAGAGAACCTGCTTCAAGAAGTAGAGCATCCCCAACCCCTGGGGACCAGCAGGATGACAGCAATGGCTGCCTTAAAAGCCGCCTGTGACTACACTGGTGATGCTGTGCTGTCGCTTTTGACCCCTGTGTGCCAGCTGCACTAACACGCTTTGCTCTTCCAGCCTTCGAAGGCCCTGGACAGTGACGAGGACTCTCCGTTAGTGACCCTGACCTTCGCCCTGTGCATCCTTGGGAGAAGAGCTCTGGGAACAGCCGCTCACAGTGTTGCGCTCAGGTACCTGGGGAGGCGGCTGGGACAGGCACCAACACTGCGTGTTTCTGACAGATTCTTTCCAATCATTTTCTTTACTTTAAATTTGGACTGCTTATACTTCTTGCAGATAGTGCTTTCTACGATAAATCATGTTGGGCCTGCGAGTAGACTTTCTCGATCACTGTAGCCTTCTCGAGTACAAGATTTGGAAATGGCCCTAATGTGAACTGTCAAAACCCCGGAATTCTGGGTACAGGGGCTTGAGCGTTACAAGGGGCCTGGCAGATTTGCTGGGAAGATTAGATGAAATCATGCATATGAGTGCCTAGCAAAATGAACAGTATCTAGCAATTAATGCTCAATAAATGTTAGTTTCCTTTCCCTGTTTTTTTCTCACATCTGTGCTCTAGTCTAGACCCCACTCTGCCTGTCTCTGGGGCTTTGATTCATAGGAGACCCCTTCTGCTTTTTCAAACTCTTTCTACTGGATCATCTCCTGTGTATGTAAACAGCCAGTTTCTCCTCCTGAAGAACAAAAATAAAATTAAGCTCTCAGCTCTCTCCTGGCCCTTTCATCTTCCCTCCCTGTCACTGAGGTCTTAGCTTGCATTCACAAAGAGCCCTTGACCTTTCCATTCCCGAGACTGCTCAGAGCCCCGACTGCCCCAAAGCCGGTTTGCCCTGTGCGCCTGGCACTCTGGACAGACTGCTCTGATGAATTTCATCAGTCACCTTCTCGTCCTCCAAACCAGTGGCCATTTCCCCCCTCCGATGGCATCTACACTGTGAGCCATGTTCTGAGCTCTGCCTGTCCATCAGAGTCACCCAATTGTGCACGTGAAAGTCTCCTGAGGGGCTTTCAAATCTCCTGGTGCCCAGGTCCCCACCGATTATGTCAGAACCTATGTGGGTGGCCCGCGCACCAGGATTTTTACAGCTCGCCAGGTGATTTCAGCTTGTAGCCAAGGTGGAGAATCATGCAGAACGAGGGAACCTAAAAAAAGAAAAAGAAAGAGTTGTATCTAGCCTCCCTCCTTGGTTTCCCCTCTCCTTGGATTTTCTTTGGGGTTTCTGTATTGTATTGTTGACACGATGCTGTTAAAAGGGGTCCTTTAGATACTTGACTGGAGTGAGTGTTGTGTTATTAGGTTGGATTCCAAGCTTCTCAGGGGCAAAGCCCACTTGTGTCTTTAGAAATCAAGCCCATGGAGATTGTTGGCTGTGTTTCCGGATACCCTTCCTGCAGGGGACATAGCTGAGACATCACTGGTGGCAGCTGTGGAGAGGCATCACCAGCTGTGTATTGTGAATGGATAAGGGTGAGGTGGTGTGACTGACAGCTCTGGTCATTTCTCCCTGGAGGTGTGGTCTTGAGTCACAGAGAGGGGACGGTAAGGACCAAGGTAATAAGAATTTGTGGATTAGCTACTCTTTCCACTCCCACATCTCAGAATGTTATGATCATCTTCATGGGCGAGAAGGGCTACCTGACGTACCTTAAATATTGAGTTCATACTAATGCCAAAGGGATGACTTCCCGGAATGGGGACTCAAGTCCTGGACCTAGAAGGTCCGTGGCTTCACATAGGAGAGAATTCACATGAGAGCCAATACAGAGCTTAAAGTGAAAGTAAGTTTATTTAGCAGAGAGTGAGTCAGAAAAGGCCACCCCCAGACCAGACAGGGCCTCGGTCTCTAATTGCAAGTGGAAGAGAGAACCCCTCCCCCCATTCGGGTAGGGTTTACATGTATTTCTCATTTCTATGGAAAATTTCTTGGTATGGGGAAAAGGAGGAAAACGGAACAATGGTAAGTTTATCTTTCACTTCTGCGAGGTGCCAGAAGGATAGGGGCAAGTTTATCTCTAACTGTTGTAAGGTTCAGCCTGTGGCTGGTCTGTAACAGGTTTCATTATGGGAATCGCCATTACAATGGAACCTCTTTGCTCAGTAGGCCTCGGACGGTCTGCTCTGTGTGATTAACGTCTGCCTGAGTTCTGTGTCTTGGAGCACAGAGGCAACAGGCTTGGAATCCAACCTCCTAGTTCCTTCTGTAAAAACACTTCTGGTGCCCCTTCTCTATATGAATACCTGCGGTAGGAAATACCCTGGGAGGAGCCCACGGACCCCCAGCCTCCCTTCCCTCCTACTGGGCTCAGCCTCAGGCTAGACCCAGGCAAGTCCCTTTGTAGTCTTAGTCTGGGACTAAATCTGATGGCTGTTTGAAAGTCTAACAGAAGGCTCGTACGTGGGCCTTGTAACACAGGAAGGTGTGGCTTAGAGACAACGCTGTTTGAGAAGGGCTTCAGAGGATGGGGGGCCTGAAATCACAAAACGAGTCTTCAGATACTCAGAGCATCCAGGCAGGTAGGTATTCTTTGGTTTGATCAATCTGAGGTTTCTTTAATAAATTTCAAATTTCCTTTACAAATTGCACATGAAACGCTTCAAAGATTTTAGTCTTTCAGTTCCAATCTACAATATTTTCAAAGACCTCTTCACTTTTGTTCTTCATGTGACTCGTTCAGCGTCCTGAGCCAGGTGTTTCTTGCTTGGTCTGCTTTATTTATTTTTTCCTTGATTAAGCACCATGCTTACCAGCTGCTTTTTTAAACCTTGTCTGGATGGGATTTCCTTTATTTCAAACAGTTCCTCATACTCCATGGCAGCTCTGCGTTTTCCAAACAGTGATGAGATGAATCTGGGAACACTACCCCTGGTATTCTAGGGGAAGATGTGATTATCGGGGACTGGTTCACTTCCCTGAGAGGTCGCACAGCACAGTAAACCCTGCACCGAGCTTTCATTTCAGTCTTTGACTTGCAAAAGGTAATGGATTTGACACGCTGCCCCAGGCCAGTGGTTCAGGGTGAGGTCCATGAAGTTCTGACTTCCTCGGATATGTCATGGGGGACAGGGAGGGCCACTGTGAGGGGGAGGCTGGAGCCTAACAGGACCCCCACCTCTGCTTCAACCAAACAGCTGTGCTCTACATTCCATATGCTAGAGTTCAATACATGGGTTCCCTTGCAAAAAATGGTTCCGGACCTCAAAGAAATTTTAAAACATAATTTTTATAGATACAGTTAAATTGCTCACCAAAAAAGCTGTCACAGTCCATATTTTCACCAAGAGTGTTGTGGCATACTCTCACTAATGCTGGATATTCAGTCTGTTAAACTTTTCTAGTCTCCAGGGTGAAAAATATCTCATTCTTATTTGAATTTACATTTCTCTTATTCATAGTGAGGGTAAGAATCTTTTTACATATTTATTGGTCAGTTATATATATTTTTTATGTGAATTGTCTGTGCACTTATATGCTTTACCCATTTTTGTTAGGTACTTTCTAGTTTTTAGGAGCAATTTGTAAAATTGCTAAAATACTTTCTAGCAAGGTGCTCCTTCCTGTCTTTTATAATTATTTATAATATCTTTTTAAATTTTTTATTTTACTATTTCTCAATTTTGTGTCCTTCTTAAACCTGTTTTTGCAGCTCCAGGGTATAAAAATACTAGCCTCTCCTTCCCTCTGATACTTCTGTAGTTTTATTTCTTTCAATTTCGTTTCTGAATCCTGTTGGGTCTTGGGATTTGATTTGATTCCACTTATTAGCTACCTTGTTACTGTTTCATGGATTCTGGCAAAGGACATGAGACGCCTGGGTCAGAGACAAAGGACTTTATTGCTCACAGCAAAGCATCAGCATATTTGTATCAGTTTCCCTGGCCCCCAAGCCCACCAGGTTGTGGGGTGAGTTTAGGGAACCAGCCATTTTATAGCAAAAAGTGATGCTACTTAACCCTGCAAGGATGCTCGCTGCAAGCACAACTCCACGGAGCAGCCTTGCATTCATGGCAAACCCATAGGATGTGTGGGAGAATGGGACCCATAGAATGCCGGCTCCCAACAACTCCACAGAGAATATATTATATCTTCATACATGGTGGGAGCTCAGGATGCCAATGTTTTTCCCAAATGGATAGCTGATAGTTCAATACTGTTTGCTAAGTAGCTCATAGTTGCTAAGTAGCTCATAGTTAGTTAGTTAGTTAGTTAGTTAGTCAGTCACTTAGTTAAAATCACAACAAACTTGAAATACCACTTTTGCCACACTCTACATTCCCATACATAATGATGTGCTTCTCAATTTCCACTTCTGTTAAAGTGGTCAATTTCTCTATTCTTACAACAAAACCATACTGTTTGGTTTAGTAGAGTGATGCATTGTTTTGGTATCTAATAAGCTCAGTCTGCTGGCCATTATTTTTTTTTCTTATTGGTTTTTTTTTTTAGATTTTTTTTTTTTACTGGGGAATTGGGGGAAGGGGGACAGACAAGTTGCTGTCCTTTTTGTTCTTCAGTCTCATTGTGGAGGATGTTGCTTCACTGGCCCAAGTTGGCACCATCATTGCGCTCTTCCCGGGCGAGGCACATCAGTCGCTGGCTCTGGACGGCCTCTCACGGCGGCTGCTGGCCGCTCACGCTGGCTGCTGGCTACACACGGTAGCCCATGGCAACCCATTGCAGCAGGGGCTACAGCCTACGCCGTGGCCAGCGACTCACGGCAGCCCAGCTCCAGGTTGAGCTGTTGTTCACCATCTTAGCTGTAGAGGGCAGTGTCACTGACCCTCATATGTGGGATCCGAACCGGGGTCCTCTGGTGTCCCAAGCCAGCTCTTAACCAACGCGCCACTCGGCCGGCCCTTTTTTCTTATCTTTCATAGTTTCTTGGCAGGGTGCTATTCTTGCTCATTTTCTCCTCAGGTAAAATTTAAAATCTTTTGTTGGAATTTTGATTGAGACTGTAATGAATTTACAGATTAATTTGAGAAAAAATGGACATCGTTTAATTATATGGTGTACTTTGCAATCATTCTGTTTTTTTAAATGTCTTTCAATAAAATTTTGTTATTTTTTTGAGATTTGTAATCTCTTAATGGATTTATTTCTAGGTATTTTATAGTTTTGTTGTGATTTTGAGTAGATCTTTTTTGCTATCACATTTTCAATTTTTTTAT